TGAAATGATCTGGGGTAAAATACACAATATATATTCCTGCCATCTGCTTACGCTTACCCCAGCACATCCACACGCATTGCCCTGAGAGGGAGCCTACTGTTCTTCTGAGTGTGTGTTTATTTCAGGGTAAGTATATTGATTATATTATCTCAAACCTGTGCAAGCATGCTGATTATAAGATCTCAAGTGGAGGATAAAAAAGACAAGCCTTAAGTTTTAAGGAGAAAATTAAAATAATAAAATATTTTGAAATAAATGAGAGAACTGGCAGACCTAAAGGAACCCACATTGCTCACATTTAGGAACAAAATTAAGAAAATAAAAGAAAGGAGAGAAGCTTGTACATCGCAGTTATCTGCTTCCAGTGGAACTAAAAAGCACTTGGAAGAAACTAAAGACTCCCATGTGAGTAATAAGAAATGAAGGTGGATAGCGTTTTGTGGCCTCCATGTCCATTAGAAACCACATAAGCAGCTTATTTATGAAAGGAAGAAATTGGCCAAAAAATAAAGTGGGATTTCTATAAAAACAGTACAACAGACAATAATAGTCCACCTTGGGAGGAATCACAGTATTTTTTTTTTACCACAATATTTAAATTTTATTCTTTTTTTTTTTTTGCAGTTTTTGGCCGGGGCTGGGTTTGAACCCACCACCTTCAGCATATGGGGCTGGTGCCCTACTCCTTTGAGTCACAGGCACCACCCGAATCACAGCATTTTAGCCTAAGAATGAGAATGTCCATCTTTTCAAAAACCACAATTTACCATATCCATTTCCAGGAAGTGGTGTTTGGAGCATGGCTATCTACAGTGGAAATAACTCATTACCTTCCATTTAAAGTCTACATGGAAAATAAAAAACTTCTATAAGCAAAAGATACAGTGAACTAAATTGAAAAAAGATAAATCGTATCTTTCCACAAAAAATGATATGTAGTAATACATATGTTAATTAGCTCAATTTGGCCATTCCACAATGTATTCAGATGTTCCTCAACTTGCCACAGGGTTATGGCGTCTGCTGACTTTTATCGTTTTCTCAACGTGGCAAAAGTCAAGAAATCCTAAGTCAAACAAACCATTGTTTCTCAGGGATTGTACATATTTCAAAACATGTTGTACCTAATAAATGTATACAATTTTAAGTTGTTCTTTAAAATGAAAAATTCTATTTCCAACAAGAAAATGCTTTTTGAAGATTAAATACAAGATAAATGACAGAAATGACACTGCAATATATGACAAAGGTTTAAAATTTTTCAACTGCATGAAAAGCTTTTACAAGTCAGTAAGGAATAAACCCCCAAATATCTCTATACAAAATGGTCACAGACTATGAAAAAGGTGGCACTCATAACACAGTGGTTATGGTGCCAACCACATGCAACAGGGTGGTGGGTTTGAACATCAAAGACAATTGCAACAAAAAAATAGCCGGGTATTGTGGTGGGTGCCTTTAAGTCCCAGCTACTTGGGAGGCTGAGGCAAGAGAATCGCTTAAGCCCAAGAGTTTGAGTTTGCTGTGAGCTGTGACACCATAGCACTCTATCACACAAAAGAGTATGAAAAAATAAGACAGCAAGAATCACAAAGGCTAATCAACACAAAACTGTTTAATTTCAATAAAGAAATTAAAATTATGAATAATTACCTAGTATATTGGATTGGCAAAGATATATTTTTAAAAAGGTTTAAAAAAATCACTTCAGTAACTTTCACTTGAGAATTTATTCAAAGGAAATAATAAGACTTGGGTTCAAAAACATATGTGCCAGTATATTCATTACACCATTGTTTATGGGTTAAAAACATTGAAGCAATTTAATCTAGCAATTGAAGATTGGTCAAATAAATTGAGGCATATATTCTTTCACTTATCATTTCTGCTAGATTCTATTCCTTGGAATAGTAAATAAAACTAACAGTTCCTAGAGACTTAAATACTTATTGTAGCAGTATGTAGATGCTGAAAATGATTGGAGGGAGAAAAAGAAAACAAAATAATCACAGATTCAATGCAATCCCCATTAAAATACCAACATCATAGTTGGTATGAAAAAGCTCTGTATAGCCACGGTCATTTGTAGTAGTAAAACAAAGCTGGAGGCATCACTCTTCCAGACTCTAGGTTACATTACAAGTCCACAGTGATCAAAACAGCATGGTATTGGCACAAAAATGCAGACAGAGACATATGGAACAGAATAGAAAACAAAGAGATGAAACCAGTCTCTTATTGCCATCTGATCTTTGATAAAGCAAACAAAAGCATACACTGCAGAAAAGAATCCCTGTTTAATAAATGATATTGGAAGAACCAGATAACCACATGCAAAAGACTGAAACTGGACTTGTACCTTTCCCCACTTACAAAAATTCATTCAAAATGGATAAAAGATTTGGGTGGTGCCTGTGGCAGAAAGGAGTAGAGCACTGGCCCCATATATTGGAGGTGGCCGTTTCAAACCCCGCCTAGAGCAAAAACTGCAAAAAAAAAAAAAAAAAGATGGATAAAAGATTTAGATCTAAGGCATGAAATGAAAAAAATCCTTGAAGAAAGTGTGGGAAACACTCTTGAAGATACTGGACTGGGGAAAGATTTTATGAAAAAACCTTCAATGGCAATAATAACAAAAAAACCAAACAATTGGGACTTAAACTGAAAAGCTTCTGCATAGCTAAGGACACAACAATTAAAGCAAAAAGACAACCTTCAGAATGGGAAAAGATATTTGCATGTTATGAATGTGACAAAGGGTTGACAACTAGAATCTACAGAGAATTTACATTAATCAATAAAAAAAGAGCAAATAATCCTATCACTAGGTGAGACATGAACTGAACCTTCTCTGAGAAAGACAGATGAGTGACTAACAAATGTATGAAACAATGCTCATTGTCCCTAGTCATCAGAAAATTGCAAATCAAAGATATCTGAGATATCACCTCACCCCACTGAGAAAAGCCCACATCACAAAGTTCCAAAGTTGCAAATGCTGGTGTGGATATGGAGAAAGGAGAACACTTTTGTACTGTTGATTGGATTCCAAACTAATACAGCCTTTTTGGAAAGAAGTATAGTGAATCCTCAAAGAACTCAAATTAGACCCTCCATTTGATCCCATAATTCCATTCTAGGCCTCTACCCAGAAGAAAAAAAATCCTCTTATCATAAGGACATTTGCACTAGATTTACAATTGCCAAGATGTGGAAACAGCTTAAATGCCCAGCAACCCAGGAATGGATTAACAAACTGTAGTATGTGTATACCATGGAATACTATTTAGCCATAAAAAGAGAGAGACTTTACATCTTTTGTATTAACCTGGATAGAGATGAAGCACATTCTTCTTAGTAGAGTATCACAAGAATGGAAAAACAAATATCCAGTGTACTCAATACTAACACGAACTAACTGGAGACAATCTAATACATAAGAGAAAAATTTAATTCAAGTTGGGGGGAGGGTGAATGAGGACAAGGGGAAGGGAGATTGGTGTGCTCCTACTTAATGGGCACAATGTAAGGGGTATATGGCACACCTCTTGGGAGGCAACTGTAAGAGGGGCTCTACTTAAGAAACGTAAACATTGTGACCTAGTTGTTTGTACCCTCATATTAACCTGAAATTTAAAAAAAGAAAAAGAAATAAATATGTGCACTAACGATCACCTGTTTGCATCCAAATGTTTTTAGGTGTACATACAGTAAATAAAAATATAAAGGGTGCCAAAAAGATATACACATTTTAAAAAATTAAAAAACAATTAAAATTGTAATACACAAGTCATGTTAGACTTCTGCAACTGCGAGAGGGCCCCATTTGAGGGTGCTCAAATGTGACTTGTATTCCTCTTTTGCTGATAAATTTTGAGCATGAGAATTTTAAGATTCTTAAAATGTGTATACATATTTTTGCACCCTCTGTAGACTAAATCATGGTGTAGAGAATCTGCATAGAGAATATTATGCAGCTGTACAGATAAAATGATAAAGATATAGTCAGTGAAAAAACTGTATGTACTATATAGTGATACTATTTATGTTTGTCTGATGCTATTTTGGGACTCCAAGCATCTTTACAATGACCTTTTAAGGTCCCACTCCAATCTAAAAGTTGAGTTGTACTTGACTGACACATTGTCAGTCAACTTGGCTGACATTCGGTTATGAAGACATTTATTTAAATGAATATTAATTTTTTATTTTGCCCTTGAAAAGCCCCTATTTCTAGTTATCTTTATCTATGCATAAGAGATTAAAGGCCCGCCTGAAGGTACATATGCAAACTGACTTGCAGAGCCAGTCTTTCAGAGTTACTGTGCCTGGCTCTGATTTTCAGACAATCCTTTAATTCTAAACACTTCCAGGCCAGCAGGTCTGAAAATGAGGGGCTAGGGATACAGGACGAATTATACCTTTTGAAGTCCGGTCAGTCCGAGGCCGCGGAACCTCTGCCCCTAACTGAGACATTTCTTTTTGTTTTGTTGTTGAGACAGAGTCCCACCCTATGCCCCTAAGCAGAGTGCAGTGCAGTGGCGTCGGAGCTCACTGCAACCTCAGACTCGGGCTGTGGGCATCCCACTGCCTCAGCTTCCGCAAGCCCCTGGGATTACAGGTGCTCGCCGCGGTCCCCGGCTCGGGTTTTTCCATTTTTTTAGGAGTGGTGGTGGTGGGGGGAGGGGTGTCTCACTCTCGCTCAGGCTAGTCTCGAACTCCTGAGCTCAAGCAATTCTCCCTCCTCAGCCTCCCACAGTGCTGGGATTACAGACGTGAACCACCGTCTCTGCTCGCAAGCGCTTCCCGCGGTGGCGAACGCGGAGAGTCCGCCTACGATCTCCAGCCAATGGCTACACTTCTGCGCTCAGCTCCGACAACTCTGGGCCAATAGACGGAGGGCTACTTTTTTCATCCTCCTACTGTTCTCTTCCAGCCAATCAGAAACATTTTTCAAATGTCTCCCTTCCCGGAGGAGCTCAAGCTCCGGGGAGGCTGGCTTCACTTCCGGGCCGCAGCCTGGCGCAGCTACGCATGTTGCCATAGCGACCATTTTACGTTACTGGTTTGTGGTTTTTATCAAGGTGGCTGGGCGATTGCGGGGCAACTCTTTCCCGACTCCCTCTCCGTCCCCTGCGGCCGAAAGGCCTTAGCAAATACCGGGGGTCTGGCCTAAGATCCGCGTTGCCCAGTGGAGGTGAGGGAAGGGATGGCTGCAGAAGAAGAGGACGAGGTGGAATGGGTGGTGGAGAGCATCGCGGGGTTCCTGCGAGGCCCGGACTGGTCCATCCCCATCTTGGACTTTGTGGAGCAGAAATGTGAAGGTAAAACGAACAATCCTTTCTCACCTCTTTCATGCCAGCAGGAAGATGGTGACTGCAAACCATCTCTTTTCCCTGCCTCCGCCTCTGTCGGCCAGGCCTAGAGCTGGTTGTGTGGGAGGAATTGCTTTCACTCTGCCAGTGTTTTCCTCCGCGGACCTGAAAATGGGAACCGTGACTCCTCTCTCCTTGGACGCGATCGCATGTCTAATAAACGTTAGACTTTACTCCTGTGCTCATTCTTCCCACCGTACCGTGTACTGCAGATTTTTGTCCTGGGTAGGTGGGCTATTTGGTGGGCTTCTTGAACACCTTCACCAGTGATGTGGGAGGAGAAGAGGTCATTTTACTTCTGAATTCCTAGCGTTCGCCTTGAGTAGTCAGTTTAGGAAAGGAGAAATGATTCAGCCCAGACCAGCAGTTGCTGTACAGGAGGGTAATATCACTCCTGCAGGTCCAGAGCCAGTGATCTCGGTGCCTCGTATCCCCCTTGTTGATTTCTCTGGTTATTGGCTATATAGAAAATGAATGGGAGGTGGTGGTTATCTTCTAACAAATGAGACGTATTCTCGCTTAGAGGTCTACATTCAGTTCTTGAAGACAAATTGGAGCCCATTCGGGGCAAAATGAACCAGAAACCATGTCATATGAATGAGCGCCCACCTGTTCTTGTGGTGGTTTAGCCAGGCAAGACTTAGGGTAGTCATCTACTCGTCATTGAACGTCTTCCTTATGTTGTGGATGTTAGACTTGGGTAAGGTTCAGTGGGATCGAGTCTTAGCAGTTGGTACAAGCTACAGGGAAACAAATTTCTGTGATGGAAGTGCTTCGAGATGGGTTAGTCGGCCTCAGAAGGTAGTGACTTCCCAGGACACGAGCAGTATGTGAATTGATCAGATAAAGACTTCATGGAGATGTTACAGGGGATTCCCCTATCCAAAGGTTGGTTTTCCTGGATGACCTTTTGAGACCTTTCAACCCTAAGATTCATGAATCTGGTGAAGATGAAATTTAGTTTGACCACTGAATGTTTTCATTACAATTCTCATTGCTATAATAAAAATGCAAATAATAGTTAATTAAGTGTTGTAGTTTTTAAGGGTGTTTACAAACAATAAATTCTATTTGTACTCTTTTTGAGAATTTAAAATACCATTATGAGACTGATAAGGAATGTGGGATTCTGACCTCCTTTAGCAGAAAGAAGAAATTATGTCACCTTTTGATTTTATTTGCCCCTGAAACTAAATGCTGAAATGGACAAAAAATTAAAATTAAAGCATTGTTCGTCTTTTTATCCCCAAATGTCAAAATTGACTACATCTCAGAAATAACATACCTGATTATGTGATTTTGCAGAGAATCAGTAATTCACAGCCTTATAAACATGTACTGTGCTTTCAGAATAAACTGAAAATAGTTTTCAGTTTCTGCTTTATTGCTTGTATGTACAGTGTTACATAGAGCAATTGCCAGGATAAATAAAAGTGACATGCCAGTGACACTTGAAGTAACTGTTTATACTTCACTGACTTGACATTATCAGGGTGCTATTCTATACCACAGATCATCTAGTGACTAGTTTTATACAACTTGTGACATCAGCCTTTATTTCTGTGAACATGTATTGAGTGTGTCCTTGGGTCAGAAGGTGGGGATAGAAAGATAAAACAAAATCTTGTGATTGAGAAGTTTATAGTGTAGTGGGGAAGACAGGCAGGTAAACAGATTACGATACAAAGTTTTGGCAGCTGCTATAATAAAGGTAGGCATATGGTGCAGTACATACACATATAAGAGTTGAGAGGCAGGGATCTAACCAGCCTCAGAGTTGAGTGGGTAGCAGGTCACGGAGGATGTGCCACTTGGGAATATTCTGAAGATGTTGAGAGAGTAAAGGAAAAGTGGGTGGAGTAAAGCACGGGCATGGAGGTTTGAAAGTAGGTTGTATTATGTTTGGAGGTGTTTCAAGTAGTTGTGTATTGTTAGGAGTGCAAGGTTTGGGTTTTAGAGTGGTGGGGGATAAGATGGGATCTAATCATGAAAGTCTTGTCTGACTTAAGGCTTTTATGCTTATTCTCTAGATAATAAACAGTTGTTAAAGAGGTTTAAGCCAAAAATTGCAGACGTTATTTTGCATTTTCAATTTTTTTCTTTTTCTTTTTGCAGTTTTTGGCTTGGGCTGGGTTTGAACCCACCACCTCCAGTATTCGGGGCAGCGCCCCACTCCTTTGAGCCACAGGCGCCACCTCTTTCTTTCTTTCTTTCTTTCTTTTTTTTTTTTTGAGACAGAATCTCACTATGTTGCCCTTGGTGGAGTGCTGTGATGTCACAGCTCACAGCAACCTCAAACTCTTGGGCTGAAGCAATTCTCTTCCCTCAGTCTCCCAAGTAGTTGGGACTACAGGCGCCTGCCACAAATGGCTATTTTTGTTGTTGTTGTTGTCATTGTTGTTTAGCAGGCCTAGGCTAGATTCCAACCCACCAGCCCCAGTGCAGGTGGCTGGAGCCCTAACTACTGAGTGATGGGCACAGAGCCTAGTTTTGCATTTTAGAAAGATCATTCTGGGAGAATGAAACAAGTGTTTATTGTTTATAATTCATGAGTTTGTCCTGTTTCCCTAATTAGATTGTAGCTTTTGGAGAGAATGTGTATCTTTTTTATCTACATTGTTTCACACATAGGATCATTGAGTAAACATTTGCTTTGGTTTTACATGTTTTAACTTCTTTATTGATCTACCATAGCATAAATGGCCTAATCACTTTCCGTAAAATTTGTATCAGCAAATTTCCAGTACAGTAATGTGGAGCCTGATTTAATATTCCATTAAAAGTTTATGGAGAAATCATTGCCTTATATTATTGATTGAAAAAAGTCAAATTAAGGGCGGCGCCTGTGGCTCAAAGGAGTAAGGTGCCAGCCCCATATACCAGAGGTGGTGGGTTCAAACCCAGCCCCAGCCAAAAACTGCAAAAAGAAAAAAAAAAGTCAAATTAGTATTTTTCTTAAGTATGAGATCATGTTTGTTTTAAATATTTTCTCAAGTAGGGGAAAAACTTGTTTACGATCAATGGCTTACATTTATATATATTCATTTATATTTTTGATATTTTTGAAGAAACATTTCAGGGATTCAAAGTTCAAGAACTAGGTTGTAAGAACATTCATTAGTAGATGTTAAGGAGTAGATTTGTAAGGAGTAGATTTTTATATTTGCCTTAATAAAAGGATTTGTTTTTATACTATGTAATATTTTCTTTTAAATTTAGTTTTTGATGATGAAGAAGAAAGCAAATTGACCTATACAGAGATTCATCAGGAATACAAAGAACTAGTGAGTATTTTTTTCCACTAATTTTTAAAGATAATTAGGATGATATTACTTTTAGCCTTTTTAAATTAAAAAAATGGATTTTTAAAATTATTAAAATTTTTAAAATTTTACGAGCATCTAGTCTACTCTAACAATATTACCAGTTATATTAGGCACCAGGGGTTCTCTGAGTCTCATTCTTATGACTTCTTATCTCTTCTATTCTACAATCTAAGAATTGGTTTGACAGCTATTTATAGGTTCTTCTGCTGATGTATCCAGGGATATGTTAGTTATTCATTTACTCATGGTTGTTTTGTGATTTTTAACAATGCCTCTAGGTAGCAGAAGACTTGTGAAGTCCATGCTGAATTTCATAAAGTCATGCTGACTTTAATTATGTCTAGTAAAGGAAATAAATTTTCATGTGATTTTCTACAAAAACTTACTTTTTGTTGGTGAAAGATAATGTCATTGCCATGTTATATAGTATTATGTAGATTCATATTTATAAAAAAAGTATTTGATTATACTTTTCTGAACTCAATACTTAATATGCAAACTGCATATTTAGAATTTTTGTATATAATTATATAAGTTAAACTTTCTTTTTCTAGGTTGAAAAGCTGTTAGAAGGTTACCTGAAAGAAATTGGAATTAATGAAGATCAATTTCAAGAAGCATGCACATCTCCTCTGGCAAAGACCCGAACATCGCAGGTTTTTGCTTTTTGGTATTCTGCTAACATACAGTTTTGACAAAAAATGTCCAGAGTTTCCTTAAATTTGGGTATTTGATTGTCAAAGAATAATATTTTAGGCATTGTGAGAGGTGAAAAGGTAATTCATCATATATAGGTTCTTTTTTAGAGCAACCTTGACCAATGATAATTTGAGGCATTAATGAACTGATGTAATTAAAAATGAACTTTCTGAATTTAGAACTATAATAAGATGACAGATTTTTTTTTTAAAGATCACAGGGTTTATCCAAAGTACTCCCTTATTTACATATTTATATAGATTATCGATAATTCTACAGTTGTTTCTTATTTTAATCTCAGCAGATCTAGAGTCTGTTAGTTCCTGGGGCTTCCTTCTCTTGGAACTACTTTTTTGTCTCATTAAATGTGCAGAGCTGAGATGAAGTCAATAATATGTGGATTTATAACTAATGTTTATTGAGAACTTGTGCTAGTTAATGTTTTAGGAACTTGACATGTCTTATCTAGTTTAATCTTAGTAACACCTCTTAAGATATTGTACCATTTAACTTTCATTTAAGGAAGGAGAAAACTAGCCTGGTGTAGTGGCTCAGGCCTATAATCCTAGCACTTAGAGTGGCCAAAGCAGGAGAATTTCTTGAGTGCAAGAGTTTGAGATCAGCCTGAGCATGAGGAAGACCCTGTCTCTACTAAAAATAGAAAAATTAGCCAGGCATTGTAGCAGGTATTATAGTACCAGTTACTCCAAAGGCTGAGTCAGGAGGATTGTTTGAACACAGGAGTGTGAGACTATGACTGGGCTGATACTAAGCAACTGGTCCAAAGTCTACAGCTAAGTAAGTAGTAGAGCCAGTATCTGTGCCCAGGAGATCCAACTGAGAGCCCTTGCTCAGAGGTTGAGGACAGGGATATGTTGCTACTCCCAGGTAGTTTTCCTCTCAAAAACTGGCTTTGGCATCTTCTCTTCTGCCAAATAAACTGTGATTCCTTAGCAAGATATAGTGCAGATTATCTATGACATAATGTGACCCCAAGTTGTAGTTTTAGCCTTGATCTCATGCTGTAGTTCTTCACTACATTATATACTACCATCATTCCAGACCACTTGCTCTTATAAGCATCCAGGTATCTTGCTTTGTTAATACTGTCTCTTAAACTGGAATGTACAGCCTCCTCCCCAATCCACTCCACTATCCCTTCTCTAACTCAGAGAAATCTTTCTCATCATCAGGGTCTGACTAAAATGCTACTTGTGGAGAGCAGCTTTGCTACTTCTATTCAGACCAGAACCCATTCTCCCTCACTACTGGGTACTTATTTATTTGTTTATTTAACTGGGTACTTTTACATTGATATTTCTGATACTCTGCCTTGAATTATAGTTTCCTACAAGCCTATTTGCCCTGTTATAAATCCTTTGAGCTGTTTTAGTATCTTTTTCCCCAGCTCAGAGATGAAAACTTAGAATGTACAGCCCTAATTCACTCCACCATCCCTTATCAATAAAAGTTTATTATCAATAACTTTTGGCAGGTTATCAATAAAAGTTTATTAAATTATCTTGCTATTATGGCCTGGAAGAGCTTTCTTGCTGTTATGGCCTGAAAGAGCTCATTTAATCCAGCACTTTCTGGTATGGTTCACTTTTTTTTTTCTTTTTTATTTGTACCGACAGAGTCTCACTTTATCACCCTCAGTAGAGTGCCATGGCGTCACACAGCTCACAGCAACCTTCAAGTCCTGGGCCTAGGTGATTCTCTTGCCTCAGCCTCTTGAGTAGCTTAGAGTACAGGCGCCTGCCAGAATGCCCAGCTTTTTTTTTTGTTGCAGTTTGGCTGAGGCCGGATTTGAACCCACCACTCTCGGTATATGGGGCTGGAGCCCTACCCACTGACCCACAGGCGCTGCCCCTGGTTCACCTTTTACAACTTCTCATTTAAAGATCCCCTCTGTTGGCTCGGCGCCTATAGCTCAACCGGCTAAGGCGCCAGCCACGTACACCTAAGGTGGCAGGTTCGAATCCCCAGCCCGGACCCGCCAAACAACAATGATGGCTGCAACCAAAAAATAGCCGGGCCTTGTGGCGGGCGCCTGTGGTCCCAGCTACTTGGGAGGCGGAGGCAGGAGACTCACTTGAGCCCAGGAGTTGGAGGTTGCTGTGAGCTGTAATGCCACGGCACTCTGCCCAGGGGGACAGCTTGAGGCTCTGTCTCAAAAAAAAAAAAAAAAAAAAAAAGATCCCCTCTGTTTCTAGAGATAGAAAATCTTTAATATCACATAACATTAAATAAATAATACTATTTAGGCTGCCTGCAGTGACTTATGCCCTCTGAGAACATGTTCCTAGCATTCTGGAAGGCTGAGGCAGGTGGATCTCTTGAGCTCAAGAGTTTGAGATCAGCCTGAGTAAGATAGACACCCTGTCTCTACCCAAAATAGAAAAACTAGCTGGACATTGTGGCAGGTGCCTGTAGTCCTAGCTACTTGGGAGGCTGAGGCAAGACAATTGCTTGAGCCCGAGTTTGAGGTTGCTATGAACTCTGACACCATGGCACTCTACTCAGGTGACAGAGTGGCACTCTGTTTAAAAAAAGTTATTATTGATATGCCTACATTAAAAAAATAAGATGTTATTAGTTTATAATTCTATGAAATACAGTTCTTTTTAATTCTATGATTATATAATTCTACAAGGTATGAACACATAATTTTGGTCTGAGTAACAACATCAGGCTTTTTTCTTTTTTTAGTTGAATAGGAACAATTTTATTGAAAACTATTAACTGATATCTAAATTTCTTTTAAACCATTGGTATTTGTTTTTATTTTCTTTCTTTTTTAGGAGTACTTTTCTGCTTTGTTAACTTGTTAACCTCTTAAGCTATTGTGAATGAGTCTAAATTTGTGAATGAAGGTGTTCACAGTAATAGGAGACACCAACTATCTTTTGTTTGCATTATCAGGATAACTTTAAATTATTTGTAAAGGTAGAGTGTATCAGAGTTTTAAAATATTGTTTTCAAATTAAGATCAGCATACCTTTCACTTTTATTCTCCAATCGTATTACACACAAAGAGGAAAGCCTACTAGCTGTAAGACCTCAAGACATAAGCTACTTTACAGTTTTACTTTTTCTTTAAGTTTATTTTTAAATCTGTAGCATTTCACAAATTTGCGTGTCATCCTTGCTCAGGGGCCATGCTAATCTTCTCTGTATTGTTCCAGTTTTAGTGTATGTGCTGCCAAAGCGAGCACCTGTTTTACTTGCTTAACCATTTTGATTCTTAGTTTCCATATCTATCAAATAGGGATAGCATCTACTTTGAAAGGTTTTTGTGACATTTCAGAGCTAGTGTACATAAAGCATTGAGCACAATGCCTGGTGTATCTCAGGTGGTCTATAAATAAATGGAAGCACCTCTTGATTAATGGTAGCTATTTTAGTGGTTGATTAGCAGCGTGCTAATTAGGCCAGGGTCATGGATTCAATCCCTGTGTGGACTAGTTAGCATTATTCTCTACTGCAGCAAACTTTTAGATAGCAGATAGCAATATTGAATCAGAACAAGGCTGTCACCATTACTGGAAAAACAGCTTGAAGCACATTTACTGCTTGGCAGCAGTAATATTTTATGTGTTTATACCTGTAGATTAAATTATGCCAATATGAAGCACTGATGAATGAACTAAAGAAACCAGTTGGTTGCCCTAGGTAATTTACCAAGTCATTTTTGTGTTGGTTTGGTTTGCTTAGTTCGGTTTTGAGTTTCTAAATTAGCTGCCACTTTCATTGGGTATCTAAAATACATCTGAAAAATTCTTTTCACCTGTTTGCTCATCATTGCCTTAGACCACTGATCCTGGTATACTCTGTGTATTAAAGCCAGGCAGAGAGGCAAGGAGTGCATCACATAAAGAGCTCTAGTTAAAAAACAAAGAAAACACAACTTTTTAACAGTATGGCTTTTTTGGTTGTATATGTGTAGTTCTAAAAAAATGCCCATGAATTAGGATATCCTTCTAAATAGTTCAGAAAAATATGGTGTAATAAATACTGAGATTTATTATTCCAATCATCTTCAGTTAAACTTTGGATTTTTTTTTTTTTAATGAGACAGAATCTTACTTTCTTGCCCTTGGTAGAGTGCCGTGGTGTCATAGCTCACAACAACCTCAAACTCTTGGGCTCAAGTGATCCTTTTGTCTCAACCTCCCAAGTAGCTGGGACTGCAGGTGTCTGCCACAACGCCCGGCTATTTTTTAGAGACAGCATCTCACTCTTGCTTAGGCTGGTCTTGAATTCCTGAGCTTAGGCAGTCTACCTGCCTTGGTCTCCCAGAGTGCTGGTATTACAGGCATGAGACACTGTGCCTGGCCTTAAAGTTTGGAATTTAGATTAGTGAACTTTGATCATTCTGAAAAACTGTGGTATTTTCCAGTTGAAACAGACAAAACTGACTTCCTTCATTGCTTGTGTTTTTTGGTGAGGATAAAGCTATTGTTAATTTCATGTATGGCCAAAGCCAGGGACTTCTAATGGCAAGAAATGAAAGTATTTTTGTTTTTGTTTTTTACTTGATTTGCTGTGACCTTTTTAAGATGGAAATAACACTTTCAGAAACATTTGTTTTATAATAATAGTAATTTGGGAAAATTATTCTTTTTTATCAATAATTTGCCCAGTTGAAAGATTACATATGTAATGTTACCATTTACTTTCTAAAAATATGCACAAGATATTTATTTAACAATATTTTGTGTGAGTGCTTGTAAGATTTTTAAAAAGTAATAGACTTTATTTTTTAGAACAGTTTCAGATTTATAGGAAATTGAGCATATAGTACTATTTCTCCAATTTAATATTTCCCTCGCACCATTTGGTACATTGTTATAATTCATAAACCAATATCAATACGTCATTACCAATTAAAGTCTGTAGTTTGACGTTTGGTTTCTCTCTTTGCCGTTGTATAGTTCTATGGGTTTTGCCAAAT